ATGGTATGGTAAGAGTTAATAAAGTGCAATAGTTAGTTTCTGAGAAATAAGGAGGTGTCACTTTAGGAGACCTATATCAGTATCGGCAACTTTCCTTTAAATTTGTTTTAATGCAAGTATTACTTTGCTTTTAATTCAAGACTTGCTCAATTAAAAATCTTATATAATACAAATTCAATCAAATCAAGATTGATATCTTTGAAGCAAGATTATACTATTTTTGCTTGTATATGAATATATTATGGTTAATTTAAGAGTAGTCTTTTTTCTGTATCTCTCTCTCTCTCTCTCTCTCTCTCGTTTAATTAACAGCTTTCTAAGGTGCGTATTTGCATCAGTAATATTAAATTGCTTGTTAATTTAATTTGTCATATTCACTGAGAGGAAAACGTCGAAGTATTGCGAAGCGAATGTTACGTTTAATCTTCTATATTTATTAATTGTGAAAAAATTTTGTTACGAAATGTACATTTCTGTAAAATATATTTCATTAATTTCCCAAAAGTAAAATGGATGATTTATTTGCTAAGAATAAAATTTTATTTCGCCGTATTTAAATAAAATTTTATTTCAGTGAAATATAAATATATTTCTCACCAATAAATTTTTAAGTATCTTTCTCAGTATAAGTTAAATGTATCAATCACAAAAATTTTATTTACAGACATTAAATTTTTAATGACATATATATGACTAAATGAATTCGTTCTTATTAAATGTATGAACAATGAATTTATTTAAAGTGCAGTCGTTAAAAGCTTAATATTAAACATTTTTGTCGTTTCGTCCAATAATTAAGTTATGCCATACTTTACTCCTTTAGGACTGTGTTTAAAAATAATAAATCGACGAATATATATATATATAATCGACGCACAGTTTGCCAGAACTGGAAATCGTATAAATTCGCAAGAAATATTATAATAGGCGCGAAGAACCGCCTTGGCCGAATATGGCATTTTTTTCACTCGCGTGTGTTTAATATCTTTCTCGGATGTGCACTAAATATCCGCATTACGGCATGCGCCAATTCTGCGTACGGCATATCGTTCAGCGAGCCGCGACGATTCGCGATTTTTCTCCCCCCGCGGGACGAGGCGGAGATAAACGTCTCTCCTTCACGTCCTCCTCCCTTTTCCGCTTCCGCTTCCGGCACGATGCGGTACGCGCCATCCGCGCATGATTGTTAATATACCGTTTTATTAATTCACGAGAATTGTCACCGGCCTCTCCCTCCCCTTCGCGCGCCTTTACAAGCCGTTGTAAGGGCCTTTATGACTCTCCCCTTTGCAACGACGAGATGAATCTTTAAGAATGAATTTCACTTTACGCTTGCGGGAACATAGGCACGCGGAAATTGCGGTGCCTCTCCGCAACGGCTTGTGAAATTGCTGGTAATAATAAATTAATCGCAAAATAAGTAACAAATATTCAGTGGGAAATTTTTTGTATTTGTGTTAAAACCGGTCCACTCGAGTTCTCTTATGAAATTTTATATTTTACGCGCTTTTAACATATCTGAATGTTAATTTAACATAATGTGATTATTTGAACATTTTTATCCGATATTAAATATTTTGTGTGTTTAAATTACAATTAAAAAATAGCGTGCCGAAAAATAATCGCGTAAGTGTTGATAAAAAAAAAATTACTATAGAATCTCTTTAAAGTAACACAAAAATTTGAGTGGACCGTTCGCGACACATGTTAAATTTAACACAAATTTTCCAACTATGTACGTAATAAATCACAATATTCGGGTGTATATAAACGAGAGGATGCGAAATACGAACGAGAACAAATAGTGTAAAAATATCCCATTAAACGTAAAAGTTCCCATTTGTAACAAAAAGATGTGAAAAACATTAATATAAATGCCGACGTGAATGGCAAAGTGAATGATAATAAGAAGCAGGAAATTATTATGGCCGATTATCCTGAATCGTATAAAATAAAACGGATCAATCTAATTGCTCGAAAATTTTGCTCTCTCACGTCCATATCTCGCGAGCGGACTTTTACGCCGAGGCGCCGCGTAAATTAAACGCATTATGATCGCAAATTCATACAGTGTACTCCTGCCCAAACAATAACCGGAATGGGTTCGTTATTTTTCCACCGCGGCGGGCAGTGTTCATTTCGCCACTGGCAATCAAGTGCTCTCATTAATAAAGCATTTGGGGCATAAATTAATTATCACCCCGGTCTGTCGTCCTCCCACACCCCCCACCTGTCCGCAACACGGGGAGTTTTCCGTCTGTTTTCCCTCGGCGGAATACGCCGTCGTCTCCTCGTGCGACTTGATCGCAATCCACTCGACTATTCCGATCTATATTCGCAAAGTCGACAGTCTCCCTATCGCGAGAAAAATACGCTGGATTACTTTCGTCGGATTACCTTTTCTACACACACAGAAAAATATTTTTCTATTGCTAGGAAAAATAATTATTTAATTTACTTTCTTCCTTTTAATCTCTTCACCTGCTTTTATTGGAACCGTCTTAACAAAATTTTTTTTAATTTAATTCATTTCGGATTTCAATTAATAATTCACACTAAACAATTAATATTTTTCAAAATTTTGATTATTTTTCCAACATATTACATTATTATAGACATCATATTTCAAATGAGATGTTGATGGAATTAAATAATTTTAATGTCTTCGATTTAAAATGTACGCAGAATCTGAAGGAGTTGAATAATTATCTTTAACAAAGAATATTTGCATGATAATAATCTTAAAGTATATACACTGAGAAATCCATCTAGTTGAATTAATTAAATTCTTGTTTGGACATGGGCAAACGAATCGTTGGTTAATGCAATAAAATAATTTAGCTGAAGCAGAACATTTGGTTATCGTAACATTTTACTTGTTTCTGATAAACAAGTTTATCAGATGCCAATGTTTATAACCAAATATTTTGCTTTAACTAGATATTATTCGATTTTATTGCACCAAGAATTTGTTTGCCCATATCCAAACAACAAATTTATTCTTCCAATTAAGTAAGTTTCTCAGTGTACTTATTACAAATTTTAGAAACATTCAAAATAAGAATTTATTTACTTTTGAAGAATATTACGAAATTGATCGAAGAAGCGACTTTGCATAATAAGCAAATCATTGTCTTAATTTAATAATCTTGATTGTAGTATTAAACTTACCAGGATTCAGAATATTTCGAATAAATTTGTGGCTATATGAGCTTTTAAAATTCTTGAAACAAGTAATTATTACTTGTGTACCTTGACGATCGAATATCGCGAGCTATTTCGCACTGCGAGCGATACGATTCCCAAAGCCACCTCTCTTCCTCTCTCTCTCTCTCTTTCAATCTTTCTTTCTCAATGGGTACTAATTTACGTCGAGGTTTTCGTAGCCGGCCTCGGAAAATCCGCGGTAAATCGAAAAGCGCGATAAAAGGGCCGCCTGGACGAGAAATTAATCGTTGCCCGGAAGGTCTCGGACGTGTTAGGTGATGAATTAAAAGGATTTCTCTCTTCACCTATGGGTGAGATCGTTATACGGTGGGCCAACAACTAATTACGGATTACAGCACCTAAATCAATCGCCAGAGCGCTCCGCGAGGTGTAATACAAATGAAGAATTACGATAACCGGATGAAGAAAAGATAACAGCACCGCGGCCAATATTCTGCTGTCGGTTTAACTTCGTATTAAAACTTCGTGATTTATCAATTTTTAATTATTCTCTATCTATACGGAGAACTGCGATATATTTTAGATTCAGATTTTATTTAAATGCAAACGTTACTCATGTTAGCTGTCAGCTGATAAAAAAATCTCATATACACTGTTAATCCTCCGCCGGTAATGTTGGATTTTAAAAGCACGGTCGATTTTTTATTGTAAATTCGATAGGTAAATTCAAATCCGTGAAAAATGAGTAAAATATAATCCAACTTATACGACAGTAAAAACGTAAAGCTTTCCCAAATATATAAGAATTTTTTCAGATTTTTATGCAGAACAATAGAAAAATTTGTATTGAAGTTTGAAAACTCAGGTTGCGAATAAAGGTTGAAAATTTCACATTGGCGGAGGATTGAATTCATAATATCAAATTACACCCAATTTGAGTTATTTTTAATCATTTCTGCACATCGCCATTGCTCCTATTCGATGTGTCGTTAATTTAACTGAAACAATGGAATTAAACAATTTAGCTCAGAAGAATGTATTAAATATGAGATTTAAATTTAATTTGTTACTTACTAACAAGTGCATACGTTAATATGGACATTGTTAATTTTAAAACTATAACCGCAGAAATGGATTACATTTTGGCGTATTTGATGGAGGTTATAAATAACAAAATGTTATTTAACTCAAGGATTATCATTGTTCCTTTAATATCTAAAATTGTATAAATTAATAAAACAGAACGCTTTTAACTATTTTTCATGGAATATACGCAAATATAGATATACTGAGAGAAAAAAAATTATTGCAATTATTATAATTTGACTACAATTTATAGTCATTTCGGTGCTAACTATATGTTTTTTTGTAGAGTTATAAATATACTGAGAAAAATGGTCTGGTTGGATTAAACAGTAATTCTGGTGGAAAATGGACGAATCAGAATTTTCTGGTTATGTCTATTAGAATTCTAGTTGAGATAACTAGAATTCCGATTAATATAATTACTCTGGTAAAAATAAAAATTCTAGTAGATTTTACCAGAAATATAGTATCAACCAGAATTCCGGTTATCTCAATTAGAATTTTAATAAATTTAACCAGAGAGAGAGAGAGAGAGAGAGAGAGAGAGAGAGAAATTTTTTTCAGTGACTACTGTAACATTATAGTAATAATAACTATATTAATGTGAAGCTTCTAACCATAATTATTTTACCATGCAATTATAATTACAAACACCAAACATTTTTCTCTCAGTGATAAGATTATTTTCTTGAATGACGTGTTCAAAGTTATAAAAAGAGATTTCCTATTTCTTTGTTTTCAGGGGACATCGTCCACTGCTCGGGAGCGAGAGACGCAAATCAGCTGGTATGTCAAATAATCAGCTGGTTGACTCCTGTCTGTAAGTGTCTTTCTCTATGTTAAAATAAACTGTCGATAGAGACTGCGGCAAAATTCTCATACGCTTCACCGATTATCGTGTAAAGGAACTAATAACATTTGTGTATCCCGTAATATCATACTCGACCTCCAATTCATTCATTATCATCGATCGCGTTGATCTTCCATAATCATTGCACTTTTTACATATATCGGGCGGCTCTCGTTCTTCGACAATTTTTTCCTCTTAAAAAATTTGCAGCCCCTTATTTCTCGCAGTAAGCTCTCGCAGTAATTCACGAGGCATTTTCTCGGGCTCTTGTAGTAAACTCAACTACAGTCTTACTCTCTGACGACTTTGACGTTAACTTTCCTTTGCGATAATTCAGGCATAATTACAAAGTTACGTGACGTGAAGGATTAAAAAGGTTTCGGCGCTTTAAGCCTCGGGATAGTAAATAAACAACGAAGCCACGTTTTCTCCGTGGATTTCCAGCAAACTCTGCTTCAAGTTGCGTCGATTCGAACTTACCGGCTCCCTCCATATTTAAATATCGCGATCGTTTAAAAAGTCCCCGAGATTGCACGATGGTGCGTCTCCGGCGAAAAAGACAGTTACAACGACACTAGAGTCCCTATTCTGTAACGATAGTGGCAGTATCGTTGCATTGTCATTGTATGCATTATAAAAAAAAAACTGTGCAACGACAATGTAACGATATCGATTGTCATTTAGGCCCGGTTTTTCATTTTCTGATTAACTTGCGGTTTAGAGTTAATCACACTTTGATGATAATGTAAAAATTGTATTTTTCTAGCTATGATTAATTACTAAACTGATGCTTTTGTAAAAATTATTCACTACAAAACCAATTTATGATTTTCCGATGGCTTTGTATGTAGCGATAACTTTATAGGTTACTCACTGCAGAATCATCAGTTTAATGATTTTTCTAGTTGTATATTTAATCATTAAGCTGATAGTTTCCTAGTGAGAGAATGACTTTGAAAATTACTCATTACAAAATTATCAGTTTAATGATCGATCATAGCTAGAAACATACAATTTTTACAATAAGGAAGTAATGTTAAACTCAACATTAAAAATCAAACTAAAATATTACACTGAGAAAAATGGTCTGGTTGGATTAAACAGTAATTCTGGTGGAAAATGGACGAATCAGAATTTTCTGGTTATGTCTATTAGAATTCTAGTTAAGATAACTAGAATTCTGATTAATATAATTATTCTGGTAAAAATAAGAATTCTAGTAGATTTTACCAGAAATATACTATCAACCAGAATTCCGGTTATCTCAACTAGAATTCTAATAAATTTAACCAGAAATTTCTGATTCGTCCATTTTCAATCAGAAAATTTTTTCAGTGTACAAAGACTACGAACCATAGTTAGTTATTCGACTCTAGAATTAATACTTTTTATTTAATAATAAACGACAAACGTTTCAACTTGCATTGGTCATTCCCATGTTATATGATAAAAAATTCAATAACGACGATTATAAATTTAAAATTTTAAATCATGCGTGATTCTCAAGCGTGATAAAATAAAAATCGGTGGTAATAGTAATGTAAAATTAATGATAACGTTCGAACGCTCTTACAGAATGACATTGTTACTGCATTACGCTTGCATACAATTTTTACATTATCAGATTGAGTCTGCTTACGAGTTGAATGAAAAACCCGTCCTAAGAGTTATAGAATAGGAGCTTAGACCCCGAAAGTAAACAATGAGGGCGAACAATTTTGATAATTCTACGAATAATCAACATTAGGCTGGTGAATCGCCGGATTGAGCAGAGACAGGAGCACAACATAACTCGCACTGAGATCACGCAGAGGTGACTAACATGCATTAATCATGGGATTACTCACGCCGAAACTCGAGAACGTACGGTCAATTTTATCCCGCGGACTAATCAACGAGACGAATTCTTCCCGGGAATTCTCTCTGCTGTCGCTAGAAAACGGCGATTAACATGTACGTAATCTTATTAAGCCGCAATTGGAATAATAAAGTCGAACAAAGGATGTCAATTTGCGGATCGCGAAGCGGCTGTTATCGTCACGAGGATCTCCACGAGGACGACGCGAGAATTTCATCGCGCCCGTAAAACGTTACGGGCGTATTCTAAATTGCAGCGCGACCTTAATTAGCGCTAATTGACCTGGCATTGTCGTGTAATTTCTAATTCGTTAAACCCGCCAAGACTTATGTTAACGCTTTCGGAGTGAGTAACACCGCCGCATCATCGACGAGCATGTTTGCACAATCGTTTAGCATGACCGCAGTGAACGCGGCCGAGGAGAAGGATGCTCCGTTGCAAATTAGCAGCATTCTCCTCGAGATCATCCGTCACGCCTATATAGCTGCCTGCATTCCCTCGTGTTGTTTTCGTACTTGGTTTGCTTTTCATTACGCACGAAATGTTGCTCGTCGCCGCACAGACGATATAATTTGCGTACTCTTCGATCGATTCTTTGCGGAAAGTATGATTTGTAAAAGACTAGAGGAAGGTCACCGATACCGACATACCACTTTTTGTTTTTAGACAATATTTCTTAAACAAAAGGTAAAAATAATACAACTTCAAAAACATAAATACAAAGTATAAAGTATCTTCTATCAGATGGTATAAGCAATTTTTATAATACTACTGTTTGCAATTTTGCAAGAATTGAGTTTTTCGTAAGTTATGCAAAAATGAACGTCTGACAAAATGGGCTCCAAAACTGACATAGTAGGCAATAATGCCAACATTCCTATTCTATAAATAAAGATATATCCTATTCTGTAAAGAAAACTAATTTATGAAACTATATAAACATTTAAAATGACAATATTATCAATAAGAATTTTCTTCTCGGATTTATAGAATTGATTTTTAGCTGATTTGGTATAGAAATATATGAATTATGAGTTTGTACTTCTTTAATTAGCTAAACAGAACATGATTTTATTAGTATTAATAAAGTGCAATAGTTAGTTTCTAAGAAATAAGGGGGTGTCACTTTAGGACATCTATGTCATATCGGCGACTTTCCTCTAATATCTATTTTTATCAGTACTGAGAACAAAATTTTTGAAATTATATACTTAGAAAAAAAGTTTTGTTGATATACAACCAACCTCAACTTTTTGGTTAGGACAACAAAGTTTTTATTAGAATATGTGACTAAACAAAAACTTTGTTGTCCTAACAAAAAATTTTGTTATTCTAACCAAATTTTTGGTTAGGACAACAAAAAAGTTGAGGTTAGTCACGTATCAAAACTTTTTTCTGAATGTAATTATATATAATTATTAATATTATAGCAGTAATAATCGTAATTACAATAACATGTAATTATAGTTACAAATATCAAAAATTTGTCTCTCAGTGTGTACAAGGGAAGAAACAGAAGTGGAAACACGCTTTTGACATGTGGTTTGTTGCAAATAGAGATGAGAGTGACCTAATCTCACAGTAACTTAGTCGGTAAATTACGGTAAATTATAATACTTTATTAAACTCATATATTTTCATATATATATTTTTTTCTATACAACATTCTTATACTATATGTATATTGATATATTTACTATATATATATATATATATAGCATGCAGTTAATTAGGAAACTAAGTACATAGAAATTAGAGGAACCTCAACAAATTTTGAACATACTATGTACAAAAATTTAAGAAGAATGATATTAAAAACTTTATATTCTATAACTTTTAATGACTATAACGATATCGGTACATTATTTTTGTGCAGCTTTTTTACCATGTATAAAACCTGTGCAACGACAATCTAATATCCTTATAGTCATTAAAAATTACAGAATAGTTATCTTTAGTTTCAACATTATGTACTTTTCGAGTAGATTATACATGAAAAGTCTTCATTGAGGATAATAAACCAGCAAAACTTTAATGATGCTAAAGCTTGTTTTCAAATGTAGTTCTATCAACTCATGAGAATAGATTTGATGAGATAAATGTTTGTTTGATCTTTTGCATTAGTGCGGTAATCACGCAATTATTTGTGCATATAAGATTATAAAAAGCAACAATTTTATCAAAATTATCAATAAATTATCATATTACTGTAATTTGATTGTGAGTAATCGTCATATTGAACATCTGGCAGAATTTTACATCTCTAGTTGCAAAAGATAGTCCTTCGTGCTTATATTAAGAATGCCAAACTTTAGTTTCGAACACCTGGGTTTTTTTTAATAAATATAATAACTTCGATGTTATCGGGTCGATTAATCACTTAAGCAGGATAATAGCTTTCAGCTAAAAAAGGAAAATACTTAAGTATTACAATGTTTCAGGACTAATCGACTTTCATTTAATGCGCGTTATAAATACAGTTTAGATTAATGCGAACCCGAGTACAACTGTCTACTGCATTGTTGAGGTGGTGATGAAAACGCATTAATCCGAATTGTATTTATATCATCTATGTATTGGAAAAAAGTCAATTGATTCTAGAACATTTCAACATTTATAACTTTTTTCCTCTTTCCCTTGAGGTCCATTATCTTGCCAGGTATATAATTAATCGATATACGATGACTTTTATTTTTATATTTATTGATTATAAATTTTATAATATACAATATATTATTAATTTTTGAAAAAACTAAGGGTTGTCTGAAGTTAGAGTTTGGGATTGTTAATATGAGCACAATAGATTATTTTTTGCAACAAACCGCATTTCAAAAGCACCTCAATCGACAACTAAAAGTAACTTAATAGCAATGTTATAATTTCACACTCAATAATGTAACTATTATATAACACCACGTATTATATTACTTTTAGTTTGTGTCGACTGGGGCGTTTCCACTTCTGGTCGTCTCCTTGACAGAGCTAGAGAGAGATAAAAAAGTAAATTAAGCCGAGATTAAAGTTAATCTACATTGTAAAAAAGATATTATTCTTGATTTAATACCAATTAACCCCCCTAATTAATAGGAATCAATTAATCTACTTGAATGAAACTTAAAATGGATCGTAGTAAAACTTCGCCAAGGAGAGATCAATCCTGAATCGATTGAAGAATACGGCTGCAAGTTCGATAACCTGTTTCATGTCATTCTCTTGTATGTGTTGCGTGTGCTACATTCCGATCAGAGTTATAGATTATTATTTGAGACATGAATGAAATACCGCCGCGAAATTACCACTTCGGCTGTCATGTCATATCTGAGTGATGTGTGAGTTTCCGCAAAAGTTCTGTCACCTATTTCAAACGGTTTTATCCAGTTAAAATGATTTCACGAAGTATAAAAAAATTATACGCAAATTATATTACATTAAAACATTAAAAAAAACAATTAAATATTAAAGTAACATACTAGATTTAAAAACAGAATGATTCATTTTTTAATTTCTCTTATATTCATCTCTATTTTAATTAAAAGAAGATGTATTATTTGTGAATGATAGTTTTTATTTATACCCTCTGAAATTATTAAATATATAACAAATGTATATATATATATATATATATAGATTTCATATTTATTTTTTATTTATTGCTTTTTTATTTATTTTGTAATCTAACTCATATTTTATAAACGATCGTGCACTTTTCAACTTTGGACATTCCAGAGCTCAACGTCAATATCAGCTTGACAGTCAAAGTGTAACAGTAGTACTATCCTTGTTTCAGAAAATAAATAATATGCAGTAGAATTTAGTTTCATGTATTGTAAAATATCAGCTATCGTAAAGTATACTTCCCTCTTTCTTTTTCACTTTCTTCCAACTGCCTTCTCTTAAACAATACATTAGTATACTTTGTAGAGCATTTCTTCACATTCTATGGGATGTAAAACAAGTCTTAAAGAGAAACATTCGTTTTCAGACGCGTCCTACAGGAGAAAGCCCCCGACATGCCGCAATACACGTAAGCTCACTATAGTAATTTACGATATCACGCAACGCCACGTACGCACTTCCGTCGATCTCACATTTCTCTGATTCACCTGCCGTAGCGGACAGGGCGACACGGATTACCATGGGAGTAACGGACAGGCGGACACCCACTCGTTGCACTCGTCTCATCTGTCCGTCCAGGAGGATCCGCTGCTTATCCGGACCCACAAGCAACAGACTTCTCAGCAAGTGAGACTGACTCCCGCCGATATTTTCCCGACCGATATTTCACGCGCGACTTGTTCTTTCGAAAGTTCACTCACCCTTCATTGTCGCCAAGTTACAAGAGCGACTTCACGATCAGTAGAGCGACGTTGAAGGACGTTTCAAATTTCTTTGTTACATTTATTATTTTATTATTAGATGTTTGTTATGTTTTTTATAATTTTTATATACAGGATTATCACAAATTCCCCATCCTACAGTCAGAAGAAAGCTTTATTGATATGTGACTAATTTCAACCTTTTAGTTATCCAAAAATTTGATTATTCTAATCTGGTTGGTCACATTAAAGCTCCAGATGTATCAAAATTGCACGTTCCTTTTATCTGAGCCAAAATGCCGACAACCTTCCTATTGGCTATTTCAGTCGCCATTTCCATTTAGTTGTCTGTAATCCAATAAACGCTTAGTATTATTATGATACAGGGTATGGTTAATAAGTCCAAAATAGAGGATCTTTGCGTTACTTTGGTATATTTAAAGCTTTAGGTCACATATCAATAAAACTTTTTTCTGAGTGTAAAATTCCATAACTTTTTCCTGACACTTTCAATAATTTTGAAATTTCTTGTATTTTCGTCCTTATTTGAAAACCGTCAAATATTTTATTAGGAGGATCAATTTAACATAATAATATAAATTGTTATTAATTTTACTGATATTACTTCACGGAGAGAATTTTCTCTTAGAATTTAGCCTGAAAATCATGATAATAGAGTGGGACAACATAGTGTTTCAAAGAATTGTATATGAATTTCTTTAATTTACTAATATGTGTCATAATAAGATATGTAATATATTTTATTAATTTTACTAAAGGGTATAGTAACATTTAAACATTTTAAAATATGTTACGCAGTTTATGATTCTTTATTATTTTAAAAGAATAGATG